AAAAAAAAAAAAAAAAAATACTAGCCAGCCAGTTAACCAGATCATTTAAGTGACTTGTCTTGAGTTGCATAGCTTGATAGGGGAAATAAGGATTTGATACCTGGGCTTTTCATGACCCCTCTGCTGATCACTTGTTCATGTTCACGTTTACATTACCCATCAGATCATCGGGCCTGGTTTTCCTTCCCCCTCTGAGTAGGGTGCTCATCTAACACATTGTCTTAACTTGGATGGTATGGAGAATAAAGGGGGCAATATTAATAATTATACCAGGACTGTCTCTGAGCGTGTGGCCCTCTTTCCTCTGGGTGATTCGCTGATCAATTCTTATGCTCTTCCTTGGGTTTAGTCATCTTATTTTTATTCTAGAAAATACTTGCTCACCTATCTTGTAGATGAGAACAAAGGTCCTCAAAAATTAATCTTCATAGAGGCAACACCTGTCGCTCAGTGAGTAGGGCACTGGCCCCATATACCAAGGGTGGCGGGTTCAAAACTGCAACAAAAAAATAGCCGGGTATTGTGGTAGGCACCTGTAGTCCCAGCTACTTGGGAGGCTGAGGCAAGAGAATCACCTAAGCCCAAGAGCTGAAGGTTGCTGTGAGCTATAACACCATAGCACTCTACCAAGCATGACAAAGTGAGACTCTGTCTCTAAAAAAAAAATTAATCTTCATAACCAAAGTTGACTCCACCCTTGCCTAGGAAGAAGGGGAGAAAATCTTATCTGGGTGCTGGTGTCATCATCATTCAAAGATCAGCCACATGACTTAACCAATAAATATTTTATTTGTGAATTATGTTCACTGGTAAACAACTGTTCAATGCTTTCTGTATGTTGGGCTGTATCTAGGCCTGAGCTGTTGCTAGATCTAATTTACTCTGACAAACTATCCAACCGATAGCTAGAGGCCTCTCCTGTGGGGCTGGGGTTGGTTGGGGAGCAGTACCCAGCCCCCCCAGGGGGTCTGATGGAGGCCTTATGACATAACTGTTTCTCTCCTGGAAAGTGCCAGCCAAGCTGTGATCAGCGAGAACCTAATGTAAATAACTGGAAGGTCTTCAATATACCTGCTGTTCCAGCCAGAGCATGAGCCTACAGGAGAATGGAGCTATTCACTGATGATTAACAAATGCTGATTTAGACTCTTTGGCTTCCAGATTTGAAAGAGATGGATCTCAGGGTTGGACTTGTGTCCAGTGCAGAGACTCCTAGCACCTCCAAGGACCCCCCACACACACACACCTTTTTGGAATCTCATTGTTCTTAAGGCTTTATCATCTCCAGAACTCTGCCCTCTAGACCTGTGGTAATTTATCTCACTATTATATACATTTGTGACTATACAACTGTATACCCAAGATGTGCCTAGTTTTTGCATACATGTACATCTTAAGTTCTCGAATGTTTTGATTGTCTAGATATGTGATTTGTGTTTATGTGACTGATTCTGCTATCTATTAATACACTTTTAATGTCCTGCTCATTCCAGGACAGAGTTTTGGGGTTTTTTTGTTTGGGGTTTTTTTTTGGTTTTTTTCCCCCTCGCTTAGCTCATTGGGGAGACATGGATGGTTTAAAGCAGAAAGGGGGCAGTCCCATCCCCTACAGCTGCAGCATGGGCCTCTCCAGGGCCTTAGAGAGGAGGCTCCAGGGTGACCATTCCTCCTGCCTGCCATTGTCCTCCCTGCCTTGCTCAGGGAGGGCCCACGCTAACACTAGGCCTCCGGTCTTTCACCGATGCAGCTCTAGGGAGGAGCAGGGTGGAGGGCACGCCATCCCTGCCTCGTTGCCAGGGTGACCAGGCTGGCGGGCATTGTGAGCAGCTTCTCTTAGGGGATTAGGGCTGTTCCGCATTCTTGTCCTGATGGGGAGCACAGGCCAGCAGGGCCACTGTCCTGCCAGCCTGAAGCCATTGTCTGCCTCCAGAGCTCTTTGAAAGGGCGGATTAGAGGCCCCTCCCCACAAGCAGGGGTTTCCTTTTTTCTATCTCCCTTTGAATATTGAGGGGAGGCAAACCCTCCAGGGAAACGGAGTGAGGACCTGTTTACCTCAGTCTGCATCTTTAGAGTTCTCATAACTTGCCTATCTCTCGTGAAGAGGAAGTCTTGTATTTACAATCCGTGTTCTTGGACAGGACTTGCCAGGAACTGGCTGGCCCTGGGACTCCACCTCCACCCTACTCCCGCCCTGCCCCCAGTGCCAGCCATGTAGCCTCTGATGGCCTGGCCCCAGGTGGCATTTGTACAGCTCATCACAGAGAACCAGAGCAGGAAAGCCCCTCAGACAGCTTAGTTCAACTTGTTTGTTTCACAGAAAAGAAAACTAAGCCTCTAAGAAAGGGTGGGACTTGCCCACAGGATCAGCAACAGAATGGGGGCCCAGATCCTGGTTCCTCAGGCGGTGTCTCTCACACTCAGGCCCTGTTACCACCTCTTGCAAGGTCCAGGAGCTGCTGCTGAGTAGGATGGAAACACCTAAGTCTCTAAGAAGTGGCTTGAACTGCATCTTGGGTCTGTGCTGCCTCACCCCACCCTTCCTGAGCGCAACACATACCCCAGCCACGGGGATTAAGCCTTATATGGTGTTCTCCACCTGTACAGATGCCTGGCAGGGTCCTGCGGACTCTGTTTAACTGCCTGGTTGTTTGTTGCCAGGGGAGGAACATTTGCTTACCTGGACATAAGAGACTCATGTTTTGGGTTTTATTCCCCCATGATATGGGGGGTAGTGTTTTAAAACATTATAATAAAATATAAAACCATTTTAAGTATACAATAGTGTTAAGTGTGTTTGCATTGGTGTAAACCAATCTCCAGAATTCGTTTCCAAGTTTCATCTTGGAAAAGTGAAACTACAGGCGTTAAGCAACAACTCCCATTTCCCTTCCCCCCCTCTGGCAACCACCACTCTATTTTCTATCTTTATGAGTTTGCCTGTTCTAGGTACCTCATATGAATATGCCTGTTCTAGGTGACTGTGTGATTGGCTTATTTCACTTGGCATAATGTTTTCAAGGTTCATCCATGTTCTAGCATGCGTCAGAATTTCCTTTTTATGGCTGAATAATGTTCTAGTGTGTAGATATACCATATTTTGTTTATTCCTTCATCTACTGATAGACATTTGGGTTGTTTCCACTTCTTAGCTAAAGATTAGTTGTTTTAAGGCAGGGTAGAGTTCTGGGACAAAAAATAAAGTACCAAACTCCAGAATGAGAGGGTCAGTACTCTAACCCTACTTGGTGCCAGCTAGTGACTATGCCTGAGCAGGCCATTTAACCTCTCAGGGTCCCGGTTTCCTCACCTGTAAATGGGGATGTAAATGGTTTCTGTGCCTACCTCCCAGGGTTGTGTGAAGACCAGTTCTTCTATTAATAAAACAGTTATTTAGTGCCAACTGTGTGCCAGGCTCTCTGCTCAGCATCAGGGATCCAGGGTGAGCAAAACAGGCCTAATCCTTGTCCTCTTGGCGCAGTAGGGCACACTGGCTTCATCAATCATAAAGCTTCAGCCTTATGAATGCAAGTTGTTGCCTTCCTGTTCAGCTATAGATTCCAAAAAAGGAGGCCAATGCTCCATACTCCTTCCTGCTATACAGACTGAACCCAACCCAGTGAGAACCCTGTCTAGAGAAGGTGCCCTCCAGCCACTCTGCTACCCACCCTGAGGAAGGATGGAGTGGCTTCTCAGGGTATACCCTGTGGCCCTTGTGACAGCTGGAGCCAGGATAGCAGGGCCAGGGCCCCGAGTGTCTTTGAGGATGCCTTTACCTATCAGAACTTTCTCCTCATTCTCCATACTTCTCTGTCCCCAGGTGGCCATCAAGTCAATCCGGAAAGACAGAATCAAAGATGAACAAGATTTGATGCACATACGGCGGGAGATCGAGATCATGTCGTCACTCAACCACCCTCACATTATTGCCATCCATGAAGGTATGTGGGGGCGGGGTGGCATTTGAAGCTGGGAGTTGAGTGTATGTGTGTGTGTGTGTTTAGCAGGAAGTCAGAACAGACAACACAAAGAAGTGAAAAAGATAGCGGGTTTAGAGTTGGGCAAAACTAGATTTGAAACCCAGCTGCATGACTTTGGGCAACATTTAATTTAGACTCTGGGCCTCAGTTCTTCATTTGTAAAATGAGACAGCCCCATTTATATCACAAGGTGGTTGCAAAGATCAAATTGGATAATGTCAGCAAGTGCTTGGCTCATGGGAGGTACTAAAGGAATTGCAGGCTTTTTTTTTTTATCATTATGATGATGATTAGGTTTTTCCTACCTGACCACCACCTTCCTGATGCAATTAGATCCTCAGCAAGCCAAGGGATGCTGAGGTGCAGCTGTCTCAGGCGCGTGGGTGCCATTCTTCACACATCCTAAGAACCAAACCTCCTAGATCGGCCCTGTGCTCTGAATCATTCCTGCCATGGGGTTGGCTCCTCCCCTCTTCTTGTCTCTCTTGGCTCCTCTTCTCTGACATCAGTGCTGACTTCGCCACTCCAGCTGTCCTCTCCCCCATGACCCAGGCAACAGAGTGAGCAAGAGAGGGAGACGAGGAAAGAGGGGGAGCACCCTCCCACGTACACCTGTCTGCTTCGAGCCTTTACATAATATCAGTTAGATGGGAAACCAGGGAGAGCAGGAGCAGCAGGAGGGAGGGAAGGAGCCTCTGTGTGAATAGTCCAGGTAGAGAAAACAATGGAACAGTCTTTGCTCTTGGGTCCTGTTCACAGGAAGATTAAGAGCAGAGCCTCTGATGTGGCCCTGTGACCTGAGCCTGTCCCATGGGGAGCCCAGGCAAGTGGCTGAGAAGACTAATTGTATCTCTGTATACTTCCCTGAGGGAAGAGTGGGCAGATGACAAAGGACTGGTTACCACACTGAGCTTGGTGACTGGGCAGAGTGTGCATGTGTATGTGTGTGTGTGTGAATTCTCCTCCACACCTGTATCCCCAGCTGGGCCTGGGAACTTAGCTCCAGCTCAGGATGTGGCTTCTCCTGCACCTTCAGCACACAGAGCATGACAGTGGCCATATGTCTGGAAGGGGTCCCCCAGATGCATCCCCATCCCGCTCCAGAGAGTATGGGCTAGGGGGAGGCTCCAGTCCTGGGAACTGATTTCTGACCTAGCTTCCCTCCAGAATGTGCCCTGGCTGGCTCTTGACTCCCAATTTCATGACACAAAGGTTACATGCATCCCTGAAGAGATACTGAGAACCACAGGGGTGAAGTCTCAGCTGGGCACCCATGGATCAGGGACATTTACTCATGTTCCCCTGGAAAAAGGCACAGTCTTCCTGGCCATGTATC